TCAGACTGCACTTTACACAGTCCGTACAGTTAAATGTATTTACGCTCTGGATGATTTTTTTCCTTACACAGTTGCATTTGACTTAATGTTCACAAAGACCCTGTTGACAATCAGACATCATAATGACAATTGACGTCCCTAAACATTGCTGAATGTATTGTCTTGTGAGGCTACAACTCAGAATTCCCTCATTAACTTGATAGCATGTTAAGCTATCACTAAATAAATGCTCAGATGTTAATTTTGGACTCATGGTTGCCAAATGTCCATCATGAACTCTAAATGTACATGATACATTTTTAACAATAACAAACAGGTGCTTTTCATAGCGTCTGTGAACTGACTGTTCAGATGTCACCAGTTGTCTTAGTATTCACCACTGTATTACGAACGTCACTGTACAGTTAATGCAGTAGAATGGTAGTAGGCCTTGTAAGTTATAACAGAGATATTAAAACAGACAGATAGGCTAACTAAAGTCCCTTGACAATTACTGAGTCGTGATTTTTTTGTTCTAAAACAGTTGTTTTTGGAGGAAGGATATGATGTTTGTTATGGTCAAATTTACTGGAAAAGCAGTGAGGTGTTGTCTTTGTTCATAATGTTCCATACCATGAACTGACCTATCTGCCTGAGCCAAAACAGGAAAGAGTAAGAGTAAGCACTTTTGGAATGTAACTTCTGGGCCCTTTAGAATGAAACGCTGATTGCAGTGAAAGAGGTTTGCTTTATTGTTTCTTCACAAAAGAGGAATAATAAATTGTAAATATGATAACATATATATATATATATAAAACTGAGAAAATAAAAATGTATGTATTAAGAAGTGGCCAGCCATTGTCTTGGAAGTGTTTTTTTTTTTCTTTATTCAAAAACACAGCTTGTTACAAAAGTAGCTTATTTTAGTCTACTGGCACCATCAGATCTCTATTTTCTATTTGGTGGACAACATTGGAGTCTCTGGTAAAAGCTTACGGCAGTGATATCCGTTTTGTCTGCATGGTTTGTGCTGCCACAACACCGGATCATTTTCAAAGAAAAGCTGAATATGCGCTGCACCTGCTGCCTACTTATACTCACGCTGTGATCAGCAGCAGCTGGATGCAATAATCGCATGCCAATGTGCATTGGCTCGTTTAGTTTACACTCGAAGTAGATTGGTCCCTCTAAGCGAGATCCCAATTTCGTCGGTCCTCCGACGTGACGTCGAGAGTGACCGACTGAAAGGGAACTAAAGTTACCAAGTACCAAAACTTGAGACAGAAATCTATTCTGAATAACTGGCAATATTGTAGGTTTTGAACACATTCTTGATATAATTTGTCATAATTGTTTCCAAAACACAACTAATACTAATTATATACCAAAAATATGTAATTAGTGATAGGACCATACATTATAATATGTACATAATATATTTAAGTTAATGGGATAATGTACATCCAGCTGGAAGTTATCGTAGAATAAACACATTGTTAAATAAAAAATTATATATATGTTCAATGTATGACTTTAGGTATTTTATACTGGTCAGGTATTTTTTTTAATCCACACTTAATAGTGATGAACCATGTAAAATACATTTCTGAGTAACTGTTCTAAATGTGCTGCATTTGCTAAATGTCTATTACACCTCATAAATGATGTATATATATTACATCATTATAAAGTTTCTTTAAAGAGAATAGTTGATGGTAAGCCTGAGACGTAGATTCTGAAACACTTACTGGCATACATACAGAAGTGTTTTCCCTGCTACTTGTAAGACATTTGCATGAGTGTGCCCTGCTCTGGCTGTGACACACTACTGCAGCTTCTCAGTATAAGGAAGTGAGCTTAGGCCCCTTGACAAAGTGTTTTTTATTTGACAGCAAACAAACAAAATGCTTATCATTTAAAGGGAGGTGGAAAGAACAGATGCCTAAATGATACTTAGCCTTGGTGTGACACACACTGATGTATATCTCTGAGTCTTTAGCAACGTGTGTAAAAGATATGCTGAGTCTGATGCATAGACTGGTGTTTTTTTCTTTTCTGGCCACTTCAAATGACGTCTAGACAAAGGTTCTTAAGTGAATCGAGCTGCAAATGACGTGTTTGGTGTGGGCTGACGATTACATTTAACCTTCCAATGAAAAGGTCAGTGTGGGAGTGTGTGATGTGGTAATAATATAGGTGTATGTGTCAGAAGCTTACTAGCTTTCTTTTTTAGTTAATTACATGGCATAATAGTGTTTTAGAATAGCACTACTGAATTTAGCCTAATTTTTTGTAAATGATGAGACTATGTAGACAAAAGTAATGGGGAAAAAACTGTGAGACTGTCTGGAAGTATTAGCACTTATGTTATTGGATATGAAAAATAGTGCCTGTTTAAAGGTTGCAACTATGGGCTATGTTTAAAGAGCAAAGTGGTACAAAATTGTGACATTAGTGCAACTAACAGGCTGCTGTGATAGTGATAGATGTGATAGAGCTGTTTAACCACATCCCTTTAAGAAAATGGCATTCCTCTCAAGTTAGCTGCGACAATGGCTCAGTACCTAAAACTTATATCTGTGTTATAAGGAACTGTTATTTAATTTATTCATTTAATTATTTTAATTTGTCTATATGATGAGATCTTTAATGCATGTCTGGAGGGTACATAGTTTCCTGCCTAAAGCTAAAGAGCATTTCAGGTCTTTTTTTATTTTTTACATTTTATTAATCATATTTCCTCATTACTCAGCTGGTTTTTTTTGTCATTTACTGTATTTTGAAAGTGCCTCCTGGGAATAGAGCGCTGTGGGGATGATGTGTTTTTGTAGACCAAAACCCAGAAACATGTTAGCATTTTAGCACTTTAGCCAATGTCTCAAAATCTGTTTTTTATAGGTTTCTGGTTAAATGCCTAAAACAATGTCTGTGGTTAACACAAGTTTAAGATATTTTCATGTTTTATTTACAGCATGATTTTTAAAAAAAGATTTGAGTTATCTTGAAAAAGGTGGTTGCTAACAAGTGGCTAAATGGGACTACAGAGGTTGTGGGGGGCATTACACATCATCACACTGAACAGGAAAACTCCTTTATTCCCTAGTCCGCTTTCAGAGAACTGGGATAATGCAGATTTCCAGGTTGGCCTACGAGAATATGTCACTGCAGCACTTTATTGCCCATAGACAATAATAATAAAAAAGAGATTACAAAATAACAGTATAATTTTAGACATTTTAACATGTCTTTTAACCTCTTGAATCCACTTTCACAAGAAATAGATATAAAAAGAATATGTGGCTAAAAAGTTCTTGTATCTAGAAGGATGTGTCAATTATTTGTTACTTCAGAAGTTATCTGTAATGTGTATGGACTTTGATAAGATAAATATATATATATTGAAATTGTTAAGGTGGGCGTGTCTGTTGCACGATTCATAATTACGAGATCGTAAAAAGTGTTCATGTCTTCATAGAACTCGTAATTACAGCTTGTATCTGACCGTACGTAGCTCTGCCCTTGTTTAGAGCTGTATTCGATCGTCTTCGGTCTTCTTTTTGTATTTCAGCAGAATTAAGGTAAGGTTGTTTAATTTTATGAATGAACCACTCATTTTCAAATCTTCCCAGTCTACTGACATCTGCTTTGACCATTACAATGATCATGGTAACTTTAGTGAACTCTACAAAAAGTAAATACACTTTACCAGCTAATTACTATAGAGCAGTGATGGGCAAACTTGGCCCTTCCAGGCCACTTTGCTGCAGAGATTTGGTCCAACCCTGATAAAACTCACCTGCCTGTAGCTTTCTAGTAGTCTTGATGACAATGATTAGCTGGTTCAGGTGTGTTTGATTAGAGTTGGAGCTAAATTCTGAAGGAAAGTGGCCTGGAAGGGCCAAGTTTGCCCACCCCTGCTATAGAGCTTAATTGCACTTGATTGTTCCAGGCTTTGAAAGTTCACAATATGGCCTGACGGCTTACATATAGCAGGCCATATAAACAACAACAACAACAACAACAACAACAAAAAAAAAGGCTTCAGCAGATGCCTTTTCTAACACAATACAACAAGACAAATCCGTTAGCTAACACGGCATTTAAAAGGTAGCTTACTTTAGTTAAAAAACCTGTAATATTACATATTAAAAGCACAAATCAACACATTCTTACCTGTGAAAGTTTATCCAGTTTATTCAGGAATTTCAATGAAGGCAATTTTCACAACCAGATGCTGCACAGTGTTGTTGTATTTTTAAAAACGTATGGATTTTTATTGTGAGTGATGACATATAGACCTTTCCAAGATGGCGGACATGACTGGAGTGGTCGAATGTGCAATCTACCTATATGCTATATGGCTGTAGCCTACGGCTGTATGGCTGTACAATTTATTACTTAGGCGCTATGTTTGGACGCTGATAGTGTTGTCATAATGCATAGTCCGAGGACGTGAACAGCTCATAGTAGTAGGCTACGTCAAGTACTGTCATCTAGAAATGACGGCAATTATGACAGCGTGAACGCAGCATGATACTGCAGTTTGGGCTGGATTGTTTGTGTAATGTGACTTTCATGGGTTTTTGCATTGCTCAAGACTGTATTACAAAAAGTGTCTTATACAAATTCATTTATCTTCATCTTATTGTGCATTAAAACGCTTTAATGACCACATAACACGCATGTTTTGTTTTCATTATGGGTATTTTTTTCCTTGTGTTGCCTAAAAAAAATCACAAGCCTGCTGGGGCAATGACTAAATCAACTGTTTCTTAAAAAGTATAGGAAATGTAGGTTACTGCCAAGCCTCTTTCATACTCTATTCCTAAAGCAGGAGTAGGCTAATAAGGAAAGAATTAAAATATAGCCTTATGAGGAAGTCGAAACTGCTGTGGATGTGGATGACATGGCAGGTGATGGCCATGAGTCCTTCGGAGAGAACTGAGTCATGATGTGTCATTAACCAGCTGTTAAAGTGCAAACAGTTAGCTGTGTCTCATTTAGAAGGCTGCGTACGTCATCGGAAAAGTCTAATTTAAGAAAAGTCATGTTAAATTGCAAAGTAAAAAAGAAATTATAGTATTTTAAACCTCACATGGAATAACAGTCAATTTTATTATGGTTACTTTTCTTAAATAAGACATCCTTAATGACGTATGCACTGCACATACTATGCAGCCTTCAAATGCGACCTCCTGAGCACGCAGCTAGTAGCCTACTGTGTGTGTGTCTACAGCTGTATGTCTGCGTCCTTCACTCTCTCTCTCTCTCTCTCTCTGTTTCGCTGTAACGCTTTATATCGCGACATTAAATGTGTGAGGACACAAACACTGAAGACGATGAAGAAGTAAAAGTCAAACTGACAGAGGTGAGAGAGCTAGAGTGTGTGTGTGTGTGTGGGAGAGAAACCGAGAGAGAAAGAACGTGTCAAAGACCCGCCTACTGGGGTGAGAGATTGTACATTTTGTGATCTTTAAATGATGAGCCAGTGGAAATTCTCATTTTAGTGCGCGTTTGCTTCGAGTCAGGACCACTACACTGAAAACAGTAAGAGAATATGATTTACATGTGACTAATTCGTTAATATTAATCATATATACATAATTGTAACTATGCTACATTTCTATGCTACATTTAAAAATATTTAATCATTCGAGCATTTTAGAAGTTAACTATTTTACTTCACTGTTCGCTGCTGACAGAGTTGAATGAATGAATTACACTTAATTAATAATAATATTTCAATAATTAATCTATTTTTTGTAGTGTTTTATACAATAGAGATTGTTCCATAGCAGCTTCACATTGTTATACAGGAAAGTAACAGAATAAATGATGCAAACTTGAAAACTATAAAGCAGCTGTAGCAAGACGATAGTGTCACTGTTTAGCTCCACTCAGTTCAGCGTTGGTTTAGTTCAGTTCAATAACTGTAAAGTTCATTCATTATGAAAGTTCAGCTCTACTGAAGACAGTAGTGTCATTTAGTGTCAGTGTAATTATATTGTAGTATATCACATATACAGTTAATTAATAATTGCTTAACAATCTTCCTTAGTTGTTAAATTGTTTTATTTGTTGTGCAGGAAGAAATGTTGGCTGCTTTCAGAGGACTTCCAAGGATTTTGCTAATATTCAGTCTAGTACTGAACTCTACTTTAGGTGCTGACACTGGATGTGATGACTGGATTCTTAATGGAAACGATGGTGTCTGCTGCAAGAAATGCAAGCCAGGTACAGAGACATTTACTGACGGCAATGGACTGCATTATGTAACCTAATAATATTTTTGTAATACTGACATTCTTGTAAAAATGTATCTTAATTTTAAGAAGGTGCAGTTTAATAATTTTCCTTTTTAAAAATAATTTATTGGAATACAATTTCTCAGAAATACATTTGTCGTAAAAGTCATTCAAACTTTCTTATTCATTCTCTAGTTGTCCTGATGGACAGACTTTGGTCAAAGGAAATGTTACCAGTGACAGTACATGCACATATTTAGAAGGTAAGAAGAAAATACAGGAGAACGTAACTTGGATGGCAAGCAACATGCCGCATCATTTAATGTTTTTGTGTCTGTTACAGAACCTACACCAAAACTCTTACCTACTGGGGCAAAAGATGAAAATGGTAAATTAAAATATCTAGTGAAAAAAAAAACATTATCACCATTGCAGAGCTGTGCTCAAGTTAATTGGACTTATATTTTAAAATGAATATCAAATTCTAACCTCAATGGCATTTTTGTTTCCTCTAGAACAGACAAACTGGCTTCCAGCTTTCATTGCTGCAGGGATGGCAGGTTTGGCTGTCCTTTTTATCATAGCATCTGTGGTTGCATACGTAAAGGCACAAAACAAAACAGAGAAGAAGCCAAAAACCGATACCCCTGACCAAGGTACCATTTAAACCTTTGTGTTCATTTTGTCTTTCCTATATGGTGTTCTTAGAATAAAACTACCTGTCATTATATTGTCTGATTTTACAGTATTGTCATTCCTTTCTTTTAGACCACTCAGACGAGTCCAGGATAATGGTTGTTGAGCAGGAAGACTGTAGTTTTCGTCATCCTGAGCAGGAACAGGGCGGCAGCTCAGAATCCATCAATACGCAAGACTCAGAGTCTAAACTCATAGTGTGAGTTTACTGGACAGTATTTATTTTTTTTATCTGACTTTAGCATTGCTACAGGAACAAGAGGACAAAACCTCTGAACATCTACTAAACTGTGAAATACATACTTGACTGGGCGTCGATCAGCCATTCCAGTTGGTGTATCAGTGATTAATTTGAACAAAATTAGTTACATTTGTTCTGAAGAACAAACTGAACTTTCACGTCGGAGTTTCTGAAGTGTGGTGCACCTTAATAACACAAAGATGAGAGGTTGTTAATGTAGGTGTGCAGTAGCAGACAGCATGTCAACACTTTTATGAGAGTAGGCGTCATCTACTGGTGCTTGTCACATTTTCAGGTCAAAGCACTCTTGAAATACCCTGGTGGGCTTCCCCACTTTTTCTAAAAGAGCACCATTTAAAAAAAAAAAAAAAGATATTTGGATCAAGAACAAAGAGGATTGTTTTAAATGGAATGTTTGCACTTTAACCATTTTTATTTAAAAATAGTTCTTTGTCCAGTTTTTATTTCAATTTTTTTTTATTGTCTGGAAATCAGCAGAGAGCACGGAGTAGTTTTTTGGTAGCTAAATGTGGTTGACCGTATCATGTAGAAAGTGAACTGCTGAAACTAAACATTTGACCTCAGGATGTTTTGGTGCATTTTACTGTTTTGTACATTAGGATTTAAAAATAAGTAAAATTGCCAACTCTTGCCTTTCTAAGCCCTGGGTCAACAAAATTATGACTTACTGTTCATTCATTCACAATTCCTTCTTTACTTGGGGTTAGGAATTTACCCTGGACATTTAGGTTTCGACTCAAGGTTTCACATGCTACATTTGTAAATCCTGGGTTAAAATTCTTATTTGCATAGTCAATATCATTGGATGAACTGCTTAAATTAAAGCTTGTCTCGCTCATACGCAGCAGTTGGGCTTATATATTCCTGGCTGTACCATCCGGTTTATGCTAAACATACTTTTCGAACTTTCAACTGTAAAATTAAAATGGTTTCTTCACCCCAATTAACGCATTTCCGTCACTGTTTCACATGTACCTTTAACGAAATAGAACGCTGAATGTTGTGATAACTCTACAAACCGCATGAGTAATTATTGAGGCGAGCGCTGTTTAGTTTATGAATGGTCGTTGGCCCTTACGTTCTGACGTCGCATCGTTTCACACGCAAAGATGACAACTTGGTGTTAAGGTCAGTGTGAAAAGCCCTATAAAAGCACATGGAACGTAAAAACTACACTGTTGCACTATAGTATACTGCACAGCTTGTTCTGTAGGCAATATTGTAAATATATTAGCTTGCCCCAGGGTTCTGAGAATCCACGTGTTTGGGAATTTCCTGTAGGTAACTGCATGGAGTGGATACTGAGGTCATTAAACAAGTTATTGGGTACACAATCCTCTGAAACTGCAAAAATATGGAAGATTTCCTTTGTTTATTCTCACTGAGAATGGAGGTCAATAAACCAGTTCAAGCGAGTAGCTTCTGACATGGTTTTACATATCTAATCTAATCTAAAAGGATTGTTCAGTGGACTGTATATCCTGCTGACTCAGTGGGAGTTCCCTGATGACCAGAGTTGAAAAATATTTACTGTTTCTGTAATGTTATTAATCTAGGATTCATGATGAATCATTTTGCATTCCAGTTATATTTTCCTCCCACGTCTAGACGTACGAGTACCAACGTGCTGAGCTCTGCATCCACAAAAAAACCTCACATTATTTGGCTCCAAGGAGCTGTTTTCTCAGGGCGTTATAAGCATAACAGCAGTAATGGAACATGAGTGGAACAACTGGTGGGTGAGCAATGTGATAATGGTGCTAGTCTTTAACTGTCAAAAAAAGGTCACCCTGTTTAATATGTCACTTTATGCATCACCATGGGTTTACTGTGTAAAGCCTTATACCGGGAAATTCTGTTTATAAAACAGCTCTACCTCTTGTAAAAAAAAAAACGCAGAACTTTCATTTTGTGGGAAGAGAAGGTCTCACTAGAAATTGATGTTTGAGGTGCTTCCCGCAGAGATTTGCATGAATTTGTTGGTTATTAGGGAAAGTCTTAACCTTTGTCTACAGTTCAAATTTAATTCCACACAATTTCTGCTGTAAATGTAAAATGTGTTTATTGATGTGAATCAAGAAAGATATGGGTATTATAATTTTATATATATATATGTCTTCTGTACAAAGCATTCATTAAACTTTATATAGGCAATGAAGGCCTACTGATTCATGACAACACATTATTTACATTGTTGCCATAATATACAATGAAAACATATACAGTATAATGTTAGCATTCAGTATCAGTACATAAATAATATAAACCGTAAATGTTTAATTTCTACAATGTGAATGCATGACCAGGTTCTGCAAAAAGTTTTCACAACTTCTAAAATAATGAAGGCGACCATTAGAAATGAAAATAACACTTTGGGCAAATTAAGACTAGTGTAGTTCCTGGAATACAGCAAAAAAAAGTACATGCAATTTAAAAAGAATGCCTGCTTGAATATCTTGAGAGATCAAGAGTCATGCAGAAAAACTCCAAAGAGGTTCACTCAACCATGTGCCAACTTCCTTTATCAAAGCGTAGTATCGTTTCAGGTTTTCCCAGAAGTCAAATGTGTAATGCCAAGTACTGCTAGTGGTAGCTTTCCCTCTGTGGTTACATACCAGCCTCTAACCAGCTGCTAAATAAAAATGAAACAAACCAAAAGAGCATGACATGGCTTAGATGTTTACTAACAATAGCAGCATTATCTGAACGGAGTGTCCCTGTTTTGCAAGTTCAAGTTGATTTGTTGATTACAAAAGTATCCCAAGTCTTGGAGAAAGCAGAAGACTGGAAAGCCCCAAACTGCCAGGACATGCATGTATTTCTTTAATCTAATTTGGTTATTAATTCAGTATTGCAGTTGATTTCACACTTTTATATGTCCAGCATCACTGCTGCTTGCAGTTCTCTTTCTGTTTTGCATTTTCCTTTTTCTCTTTGGGCTTTACTCGTCCCAGTTTGTCACTCTGTCGTTTCGTGGGGGGCACAAAAGTAGGTTCCTCCAAGGGGCTGTACAAACCTACTTGTTGTGAAGTTTGATTTTGACAGGAATCTATAAGTTAATATTTTTATAATTATTATTAATACCATTCATAAATACTTTAGAAGCTGTTTGTGTTATGTGAATGAATGAAAGTACCATTACTTTGACCTGATTCAGCTGCGTCCTTCCTTTGAAAGGTGGGGTCCAGCTCTTCTGCAATATTCCTGATGGCTTGCGGTTGCCTGTGGTGACACCAAAGGAAGTTAAAGAATATTTCCTGAAAATTAAGCCATAGTTCATAGAGAAAATATTGATTTACATTGTCATGGAAATGTGACTAGGCTGCTGATTGTCTGGGTTGAAGTCATCAACGGGGGATTGAAGACCTTCGGAATTCAGTCTCTGCCTCTGTATATCAAACAGCAAAATTCATAATGAAACAATTATTTTGTACCACTACAAAAAAAAAAGGCAACTAAAGGTCAGTTCACTCTGGTCCAACAAACACGAACAGGGTTTTAGAATTTGTTAGAAATTGGTGTTTGCCAAGTCAGTGTGAATCATCCTTGAAAGATCAATATTTCCAAAGAACACATGTGGCAATACTGATGAATCATATGATCAAAAGTAAGGTTTAACCAGTTCATCAGTACTAATATCTGAAGGAACTGTGCCCAAGACATGCATGGACAAGGCAATTCTGCAGAGGTGTCATTTGATATTCAGATAGTTGGAATTTTTGGTTAGTTAGCAATGAGTACATGGTTACGCAACAACAAAAGTGTGTCAGTCTAAAAGTATGGCTACCTGTCTGTCACATACTGTTCTCCTATCATTCTCTCTGTATTCTTGAACAGGTTCCAGCTCACGAGACCTCCGTTTAGTCTTTATCTCCTGTTTCTGCATGAAACGTGCGATTTCCTGCCACAAAACGACAATTTATGCAACCATTTATGCATTGGAAATGTAGCCTTCATTCAAACTCTGCTTACCTCATCCTGAGCAACCTGTGCTGCTCTGAAGTCTCCAATAGGACAGTCCCTTCTAAGAGGAGAGGAACCTTGCGGAGTCTGAGAGAAGAGAACATACTTCAGTATTATTTTAGGAATTTTTGCTACTGTTATTGATAGGGATATTAAACAGATTTTGTGGAAGAGCACTAATACTATAGAGCTGGGCCGTATGATGGTATATACCAAGGGTGTTCAATCCTGCTCCTGGAGGGCCACCTTCCAGCAGAGTTTGGTGCTAGCCCTAATTAAACACACCTGAAAAGGCATGTGTGTTAGAGCTAAACTTGGCAGGAAAGTGGCCCTCCAGCAGCAGGATGGCTTGGTATACAATATGGTATACAATGAGGAGCCCCTCAACACCAAACATTTTGAATGTCTCATTTGTCTGACACTCCAATTTCTTAGAGTCTTAAAATGTCTAATGAGCTGATGACCTGAATCAAGTGTGTTTGATTAAGGAGTGAGTGGCATATACCAAAACTGCGGTAGATATATTTGGTCTTGTAGTTCACCTCTTCGGCCAATCTCTCCTCCTCTTCCTGAAGCCTGCGGGCCAGCTCCTCATCCAGCAGCACTTGCTCCAAATCTCCCAAGTCAAGCGCAGCCCTTCCACTCCTAAGAGCAGGTCCTGTCAGGCAATAAGGACAAAATCACAACCAGATAATGTGGAGAGGAGACACCGGGTTTTCAGGCCACCATCACCTTCAGCCAGTTGGGCCACAACCAGAGGTGTCCAATCCTGCTCCTTGAGGGCAACTGTCCTGCAGAGTTTAGCTCCAACACACTTACCTGGAAGGTTCTAATAATCCTGAAGACCTTAATTAGCTGGTTCAGGGGTGTAATTAGGGCTGGAGCTAATTTCTCCTGGAAGGTGGCCTTTCAGGACCAGGATTGGACACTTCTAGCTGAGACTGTTGAATGTGGATTTCCATTTGATTTAACTCATTGGGAATCTTATAGCCCTGAAAACACACCTAAAGGTCATACAAAGTAAGAGCCAAATCAAAAAGTAATTGCAAGGCCAAGTCAAGAAGAACCAAGAATATTTAACTGCTCTAAGAGAAAGAGAAGCAGATGAGATTTTGAGGTTTTTGAGAAACAAGGATGAGATCTAGTCTCACTGGTGAAGGGATCAAGCTTAAGTAAAAGCAGATGACACCAAAATAATGGTATCAACTCCCAAGATGTACACCGGAAGCACACAGGAATGGACAGGAATTCTTGTTTACTGATTGGGGATGATTGGAAAGCAATGAGCAGATGTAGGGACAGGCTCAGCCACACTGCAGAGAGGGGTTACCTGCTCCAGAAGAGTGCCCACTGCAAGACTGGAGTCTTTGTATCCGTCTTTCCTCCCTCCTGCTCTCCCTCTCCAACTCTTCCTCTGTGCTCGATCTCTCTTCCTCGAAGGTCTGACAGTGTTCACTTTGACTTCGCCTCACTCTACACTCTCCACGCCTGTGGTCTTGGTCTATCCTCCTTTCATCCTCCATTAATGATCGAGCTCTCTGCCATGCATTTCTGCCTCTCGCCATCTCCCAATTTCTCAAATCTCTCAAACGGTCCTCCACTTCCAACTCCATCAACTGTGGCACTCTAGGCTGCAGTGAGGGGGCATTATTTGAGGGTCTTGGTCTAGCCAAGTTAGAATCATCTACGCTGCATGTTCTGCTTCCCTCATGCACTGATGTCCGCCTGATGTTACCACGATAACTACGTCGCATTGAAATGTTTCGTCGAAACCCCTGAGCTTGAGTGTGGAGACCTTGATTTTCTCTGAGGTGTGTGTGATCATCTCTTAGTATCCCTACTGAACACTGAACTCTTTCCCTAGCGTCCCTGTGACCATTTTCATAGGTCCTACAACCATTGGCAAGATAACTGTTAGAGCGCTTCCGTTCATCCAGGAAATGAACATGTCTTTCCCTAAAACTCTCTCTATGGCCACAACCGTCTCCCTGCCACATTCTGTTACGATCCTCCCTCATGCTGCTGTGTCGACTCAGCCCCGTTCCTGAGACCTGCTGCTTCTGTCGCAATATTTTCTCAAGTTTATAGACTGGTTCAAAGAGATCATCCTCAGAGCTGTGGCTGAGGTAGCCTTGCTCACTCATATCGTTCTTTATGAGCTTAATGACATCACCCCATCCACCTGACAGGTGTGAAGATCTGTTACTGCTGCTTTGGCTGGTCATGCTTTTGTCGTCCTGCTCTAAATGAGCTCTGGGTCTGCCGATCAGCCTCCTCTGCCCTACAGTGGGTTTGCTGTCCTGTTGTATGACTGTAGGCCTACTGTACTCCATCAGGTCCTCCTCAGAGTCCGAGTAGGTGGGCGAGGAGAAGTGCTGCCATCGTCTGGTTGGAGACCAGTTGTGAGGTACATGAACAGGTTGGGGTAAGTATGGATGAGCAGGAATGCTTGTGGACTCTTTAGTTAAGCCAACCATGCAAACATAAAGCAGGGGAATTGAGAAATGGTTAGAGATTGAGGGGTGCAGAATAAAACAGTTAACATATGAAGCTCTGTATAAAAGTAAAAAGGACAAATGAAAATAAAACATGCATTACATGTGAAAAAAACCATGGAGCTTCACTGAATTCAGGGTGATTCAGGACGTGATTAGTAGTGTCATCATTTATTCACTCTGTCATTCCAAATGAATTTTCACCTTAGGGTGAACTATACTTTAACTGGGCTTGTTTCGCAAAACAAAGAAGTGGAAACGCATCAATTTTGCAGGCATGAATGAAGACAATGTATTTAAAGCAAAATTTGACATTTTCTTGAAACTGTATGCCATTAAAAGGAATTCAGGTTTTAATATCAGACACAAAAGATGTGGTGTAACCATAGAACTTTTCAAACAGGAAACAAACATGAGTGAACTGGATCATCATCCCAGATGATATCATGTCCTGTGGGGCTTAAAAAGCAAATGAAGCAGCTGGCTGTGTGTGTCATACTGTATGATGGATGCATTAACAATACACTGCATGTTGAAAAAGTATTTGTGTATTATTTCAGTAGATTTAATATTCCAAATTTGCTTAAAGATGGAGTATTCTGTGTAAGAAATAATCACCCGTGGTGTCACATTATTTTACAGCAAATCAGATGCTTATACAGGAAACAACCATTTGACTAGACCAGTGTTTCTCAACCAGGGGTCCGTGGACCCCTAGTGGTCCTTGACGTAAGGCCAGGGGGTCCATATAAAGTATGAATTTTTGTATATTTTGACATGACATGTTCCCATGAAAGAAAAATCCAACATAGCTGATGATATGGCCAAATACGGGACAAGTCAGCTAACTTGAATTATACTTGACTGTATTTGGTCCTCACAAAGACACAAATAATAAATAGATGAGTCAATTTTGTTCTGGGGGTCCTTGAGGATGGTTCTGAATTGGACTGGGGTCCGGTATGCCAAAAGGTTGAGATTCACTGGACTAGACAAAGAAAACTCATGTGACAAGACATTGAGACAGTCTCGATGTTATTGGAATAAGAAATTCTTATTATGAACACGTTTACTACTCATTTCTCCAAAGCTACTAAGTAAATGAGGGAGACAAACAGAAATACTGTTATACAAGCAAAAGAACTGCTTTAATCATGCGTAAGTTGAGTTTCACAAATTATGTCCTCAGCATGTGAATGGCACCTATTTTAACAGTATACAGCATTTATACTGTATGTGAACATGTCGCTGATTCCCAGAAGTTCCACTGAAAGTATCATCACAGTTGAGCATATTTTTGCTGGGCCTCACATAAACTCATTTAAACTGCACTATAAATCTATTTATCAACATGATCTTTCACAAATCAAACTCAAAAACAGACTCAGTTCAGATGATTTAAACAGTTTATAGTTATACTATGGGCTTCGGGTTCAGTGTCAATGTTAATGTGGCCCCTTTGACATGTAATTTAGATTTCACACTCCTAATAATCTATAAAACTTATGGCCATTATGAAAGAAAATATTAAATGCAGTAATCTAGAAATTTAACTTTATTTTCTATACAGAAGTGCAGCTTTGTCACACAACAGAAACACTGTCAGTGTGAACACAACGTGAGCCTGCGGAACTGTTGAAGTTACACCATTACATAATGCCATAAATTACAGAGGAGTATTTTACCTCTACCATCTTTATGTTGGTAACTGCTCCTGTGTCTCAAATAAAGCTCTTCCTCTTCCTGTATCCTTTTTGCTACTTCCTAAAAAACAACAACAACAACAAAAATAAGCTTTACAGATCATAATGGTTATTTGGGGAAGTGAGGATCTGTTTTTTTTTTTTTTAAACACATTTTTAATGAATATAGAAAAGCATGTAAAATATAGCTGTAGATTGTATTTGAAAAAAAAAACTACTATAATAGCACATCAGAAAGAAATAGATTGACAGTTGTTCAGTTATGACACATCAAGGTGAAATCCTCAAACCTAAGCGTGGGCTTTGTGACTAAAAATATATCCGCTCATACACACAACACAGACGCCAGCGATAGTTGGCCTACGTCAGCAGAGGGGAATTTCCACGCTTACGTATCAAAGGCCTTGAGACCTACCTGCTCTTACTGCAAAAAGCCCACCATATCGAATCTTCAAACAGCTATGTGCTCAGTTTGCAACTAGACCGGCAAACAGGGGACACAATTTATTGCAAAGCTGACCACAATGACTCACAAGTTTCCTCTGACAAAGTATGGTTGAAACATATCTTAACTGAATCAATTACAGTACGATTACCACAGTAACCATTTCTTTTATTTTATCACATGCCTACCAACATTTTGTGCCATGTAAATAAAGATGAAATTGATGCATATTTCATAAAGTTACAAACTATGATTTCTGTGAAAGCATTACTTGAACCCCTACAATTTTACATATGCTTGTAAGTCACTAGCGTCTCACTTGGTTACTCTTTGAAAGATTTCTTATTTTGTATTTCTACCTGCCTTTAACCGTGTTATGAAATACTGTCCTTTTAAAGTCTTGCAGAAACAGCCATAAATGTGTCAACATACCCTGTATATGACAGAGAATTTACAGCACTTAACCAGAAGATGGCAGAGTTCTGTCTCAATGACAAAACAAGTTCTTTCCAACAATCATAAAACTTTGACTTCTACCGAGCTCAAATCTAGGCTTTTAATGCGGTTTACATACTTCAACATAAAGGAAAAATGTAAGACTTAAATATTTATAAAACTGTTCTTGAACACCTTTGAAAATGGGAGAAATGGGAACATGGGAGAACAGTAAGTAAAGAGATGGCCAAGCTGTTTAGGTCAGAGGTTTTTTAAGTTCGAGTCCGTTAATGGGTCACAAGGGGGTGCTACAAGGCACCAGCTGAAAATTTGAGAAAAAATAAAAAGATTTTACAGCAATGTATTTTAAAACTACGCTTTGAATAGGTATTTATTGTGAAACCCAACTATGTTTCTCCAATGTTCTAATAGTAGAAATAAAAACTAATGTTTTGTAGAAAAAGCAAGATATGCTGTTGACTTTGCTGTTAACTACAAATAAAAAAAACATATACTGTATAAAATTAGTAAGTGGTTTGGCTTTAGCCAATGACAAAAGCTAGTCTTTTAATTTTGGAAAATTTTGTATGATACCATGCTTAATATTTTTCCACACACAGCATAAAAGGGTCTGCATACATAAAAATATATATCTGCGTTTAAGAGGGTACCTTTGAAGGAAATCTTCATATCTGGGGGCACCTTACATTAAACTGTCATGTTAACCTCCTCAGCAGTGTCTCTCTATGTCTGTTGCCATCAGGTCCTGGTGTCCTCCTATTCTAATTAACCTGTTATGCTGACCTTTCTTACTTCACAGCACCAACCGAATTAAATCCTCCATCCTGTGCTGAGAGATTTTGCCCCACACAGGGACCGGCTCCTGTCTCAAGAGGTCTGATTCTGAGCTTATCTGGCACCTGGACTCTAAAGAAATCACCCCTCGAGATGAGGTTTGTTTGTGTACACAACTATTAGAATGACTGGGTGAGAATTAAGTTCAGCATTACTCTTCCTGCTCCTGTAGGAGCTCGATAGGACAGCAGGCTTCAGAGCCGTGTGTGGAGATGATATTTAGATGCGACCTGCTGCCTCACAGGCTTTAATTAACACAGGTCTGTAGGGGTGTAAATATGTATAATTAATGCAGTGGAATGACATTTTATGCAATATGCGAGGCCTGTCAGTGCAAAATATGCCACACGGGTTTGAAAACACCTTCAAGATTACTAGTAAATATTAATTAAACAAGAATGAGCAGACTGATATTTTATCATGTCTGTTTTAAAGCTTAATTTTAAACTAACATTTCAAAATGGCAATGAGCACTTTTGGTGCTTTCCAGTTACATCTTTAAAATAAAATAAATAAGATAAATATACTTGAGAAGCAGAACTGTGTACGGTAATAATTTGTTTTCAGAGAATATCTGGAATGTTTTTAAAACAAAACAACAATTTACAAAGTTTATTCTAAATAAAAAAAAAAAATACTGATACTAAAAAGCCAGTGAGGCAATAAAAACTTAATTCAAGATATATTCTCTAAAAATAATTATTTTTCTCAAACAAGTCTTGTTTTTCTCAAACTAGTCTTGTTCTAAATTTTGTTTTAAGGATGTTTAGATTTATTAACTGCAAAACAAGACAAAAATGTTTAAGAACATGATTTCTGCAGTGAAGCTGGCAGGTCAAGTCATGATTCTTTTAGGAGTCAAAATACCTGCAGAAACAGAGATCATGCTCATTATACAACTCTGAATCATAAAATGTCCCAAATGTCCAAAATACTGTAATTTGAAATGCCTCACAGGGATGTTGACAGATTTATCTGAAACCCAAATTTCCGAGATCACCTGCATGATTATAGGTGGTCAGGATCTAATAACTTGATATGAAAATGTTTTCTGAATCACCCGGGACTCTCCCACTCTCAAGACACCCCCAAAAACACTTAGGCTTTGATTTCCACAGTAACCCCCACAGGCAGTCTGTCTTCATACAAATCTGAACAAGAGACTCCTTAATTAAGGTTAGCTGCAATGTCATTCAAGAGAAAAATAAAAGCTGAACAAGTTAATTATTTTTCCTGGTAGACTCAGAAACCTTGTTGCTACCGGTTTAAATTTCTCAGAGACTGTCCTGGAACATGACAATAATCAATAACTCAACAAATGCAATCAGGAGGTCTTACATACAGAAATGCTCATCTCTTACTTTTGCTAAAATATTATTTAATATAAAAATGCGCTATTTGTAAATCATTTTATCAGGACAACTACTATTCTAGGCAAATGAATTGTCTGGTCATGTTTGTTGCAGTGGTTCTCAAACTTTTATATGTACACACTGTATCTGTGTGTGTATCTATCTGTGTATTTTAATGCTCCGGAACCGTTTCCCCAAATACTTCTATATTTACTGCCTTACTATAAATCAGAAAAACATTTTGAGGGAGAACTTAGATTTAATATTTATAAACTTTAAGATTTCATATTTAGCTGATGCTAAAATAACTTTTAGTACAGTTACAGGAGCAACCAGACATTAAAGGAATTGTTCACACAAAAATGAAAATGTTGTCATCATTTACTCACCCTCATGGCGTTCCAAACCTGTATGAGCTTCTTTCTTATGTTATAACAAAAAATAAGATATTTTGAATAATTTTAAAGAACCGAACAGTTGTTAAATAAAGGTGCTTCAAAAGGTTCTTCAAGCGATGCCATAGAAGAACCATTTTTGGTTCCACAAAGAACCATTCAGCCAAAGGTTCTTTAAAGAACCTTTGGCTGAATGGTTCTTTGTGGAACCAAAAATGGTTCTTCTATGGCATCGTGAAGCACCTTTATTTTTAAGAGTGTAGGGAAAGAACTACTATGGAAGTCAATGGGGACCAACAACTGTTTGATTACAAGCATTCTTCCAAACATCTTCTTTTATCTTCAACATGAGAAAGAAACTCATACAGGTTTGGAACGACATGAGCGTCAGTAAATGACGACAATTTTAATTTTTGGGTGAACTATCCCTTTAAGCACTAGGTCACAATGCTGGTTGGACGGAACTTTATGGATTTTTGCTTGCAGTTTTTTAACCACTATGCCACACCACCTCCAACACAAAGAACTGCCATAACATTTATGGGACCCTTGATGCAAAGCCCTCACTAAAGAAAAGCTGCAGATCCATAGAGATGTCCTTTTATTTCTGGAGGAGAACATTTTCACACTCAGCTTTTCTGCTTGTGACTCACTGAACTAGAAGACTAGAAAGGTGCCTGGGGAGGTTATTTAAGGTGGGCTGGAGTTAAATGCATCTGAAGTTGATTAATGCACAGTATGAGTGTGATTTCTGCTTTATAGCAGCTTGATGCTCATTCCCGTGTGGTCTTTGCCAGCACTTACACTCCACAGGAGACTAGCTGAATACATCATCTCACTGGCGTCCCACAGTGACTCATTAATTATTGATCCATTTGATCCCTCAGACAAAGTGGTTCAGAGGTGTAAATGAAAAACAGAAGGGGTGACGTTTACTGAGCCTGGAGTGTTACACACCTCGTCCTCCACCTCCCTCCTCCGAGCTTCATCTGAACGCCGCTGGATCTCCTCCTGAATCATGCGTGCGTATTCTGAGTCTCGTTCCTCCCTTCACAGAAAAAAACACCTTTGATATAATGAAAACAACTAAAAAACACATCTGTTTCCTTTAATGTAAAGAGGAAATGCTGAGACGGTTGCACTATTGGACATTAGTGGACTTTGGATATGTTATCATTTATTGAACTGCTGATAAACAGTATACAACCATGAACAGACAGTGTCATATCTGACAGTGGTGTGACTAGTCTTTGACTGTGTGTGTGATCTTACAGTTGGCGAGTGGCCTGGTGCTGCAGCATCTGAGCCCTCTGCTCCTCCTCATCCTGGAGTCTCTTGGCTACTCTGATGTCCCTTTGCACCAGCTGACTCCTCTGCACATTTGAGTTGTAGTACTGCTCAACTGTTGAAGAAAGCATGCAAGGTTACAGAAGAGCACATGGAAGACACACTACTGTTTAAAGGATTTATTTGAAAAGAAATTAATGTTTATTCAGCAAGGACGCATTAAATTGATCAAACAATAAAGACATTGATAATGTTATTAAAAATTCCATTTCAAATAAGTCCTTTTGAATTTTCTATTTATTAAAGAATGTATAACAGGTCCCAAAACATATTAACCAGAGCAATGGTTTCCAAAATTAATATAGTAATAATGTTTGTTGAGCAGCAAATAAGCATATTAGAATCATTTCTGAAAGATAATGTGACACTGAAGCCTGGGGTAATGGCTGCTGAAAATTCTGCTTTGCCATCACAGGAAAAAAATTTGCATTTTGAATATATTTTATTTATTTATTTTACAATATTACAATAACTACGGTTCTTACTGCATTTTTGTTCACATAAACATAGGAGTAAATCTTACTGACACTAAAATCGTGAACTGTAGTGTATATCAGAATATTTAAACCTCGAAAATAATTTCTAAACATATGATGTTTTCGTTTCAGTAAATCCTGTAGCCTTACTGTGAACACTTGCACAGAGAGATCATCTGATTTACATGTAAATCAACCTAATCACAGTTTGTTTTGTTTTCATATGCCATTTAGGGGCGGGTAAAAGGCCGAGATGAAAAACATTAACTTAAATATTGATGCGGCGATCTCTGTGGACGGATGTTCAGAGAACAGACTAAAACTAAACTCTACCTTATTTGACCAAGCAGGATATTTTAGTTAAGCAGGCAGATTGACTCACATGAGAGGTCTTGTTACCTTATGTACTGAAACACCCTTGTATTTCTAGGTGTGTGAACACCTGCCCACTTTAGAAGTTTACAAAAGACGGCTGAATATGTCAAGGCTGAGAAAACAGATTTTAAGCTTGCGTTAAAATGCTTTAGGTGTGGCAGATGAAATTAGAGAAATGGGACTTACTTTCCTGCTCCTGCAGGTTATGAGCTAGAGCTCCATCCTCCAGTACAGCAAAACACTGGCATACTGCAGAGGAAAAACAACATTCAATACAACATTCAATACAACTGCAATAAATTTAACAATTAACAGCTATGAGAAATGCTGCTGATCTTTTATCTGTGGTCTTTATGATCACTTCAGATTATAAAAGTATAGTATCTATAGTAGTTTAACCATAAATTACTTGCATTCAAGGCTGTAACAGGAGACTTTGTCAGAAAATACTTGCAGACATTTGGACTGTGTTCAGAGACATGCCGTGTTATTTCATGTCTTCAGAAATCACTTCAGGTCATTTTAGTAAAGCTCATTTAAAAATGTTCATAGCACCACATTTGTGAAGCCTCATATTTCAAAACAAATTAAAAAAAACATTTTATCCCTTTTTAAAAAGTCTTAAATTCTTTATATACCAACTTTAAAAACGAGACACTCAAATTTCATAAAGCCATAATAACAGTCTGCATGACAATAACTGACCCTGGAAAGTTAAAAACAAAATTACACTTGTGGTTTTGGTCCCGTAAGTGTCACATTTCATTTTAAACCCTATTTTAAAATAATTGACAACCCAGAAAGGCTCTCGCTGCTTTAAGGAAAATCTTCAAAGAAATCTGTATCGTACAATTGAAAATAATTTGTCTCTCAATTTGTAAAGCCAAACAAAATTTAAGTAATGTCTATGGGGCAAGCATTTCAGAGGATTTAAAGCAGAAATACGAAGATTGCATTTTCTTCTGTACTAAAGTGTTACTTAGCTATCTGAGCTCTAAAATTGTCTAAATTGTTCTTTTAATGGAAGGACTACTGTTCTAGGTGGATGAAGATCTGGTCATGCATTATTTTCTGTACTAATCAGCAGCATATTGATGCCATTGATAGAACGAAACTTTATTTAACCCAGAACATTCCTTTAACAAGAAGCAAAAACACAGAGTATCAGGTCAGTGAACTCTGAATTTAACAAATGTGCATGTGAACCGAAAAGTACAGTTCTTGAGAGTCTTTCAAGCTGATATACAGCCACAGAAAATACACGTGTGTAACAACGTTGCTGCTTATTTGAGAGCTGAGCGCAGATCTTTTGGAGCACTAAAGCATCACAGAAAAAAGTTAAATAAATACTAGTCCCATTCAAACCTCTTGAGGTGCTGTAAATAATTTGGGTGATTTTGTATAGTACGCAGTAAACCTAAAAAAGCTCAGTACAGTGTTCTGTTCACTGCAGAATCCCTCAAGGAGTAAATAACTTTGGTGCTACATGTTGTGGTGAATGTTGAGTAGTGTTGATTGAAGCAGTGTCACTGGTGTTACCAAACAAACATATACAGCTCTCATAAACACGCTCATGGCAACAAAACTGCAGCAATCCCGTGGTGCCGCCCCTCAGGATATCCTCAAAGTGTACGCCAAATTCAAATTTAGCAAAAAGCAACCTCAAATTCAGCGATTTACAGGGCGGCTGAGTCGCAGAGAGTTTCTGAAAGGAATACGGCCTGTAATTGACACAACAGCTGGAGTCTGAGGCTTTAGCGCTGGGGCTGAACCTGCGGTCGGGATGGAGAACATTACAGACCCTGAGAACAGTAAAAGGGAGCATTTTACTAAATCAAGAGCCACCCCATCAGTGAAACTGCTGGATTCACACTCAACATGACTGCAACTTGAAACACAAATGACTCTTAGCTACATCTGCTTTACTTCAGGATGGCCTGAGCAATTATGCTGAATTAGAGTAGAATGACCATAATATCCTAATGGAGACATACTGACTTCAGCACAACCTCTGACCTGAGCAGCTGGTGGGAATCTAAGTATAGCTGTGAGGCCCAGCCAGCCCGTCTGGTGGGGTGAAACTACCGACCCCCTAAAAATGCGAGCAGAGAGAAATAATCCTTCTGTGGGGTATCCCAGGTTTAAATGCAACCGTTTAATTATCCGAAAAGACAAATGTATTTTCTGCTTGAGCCCACCTGCTGCATATTGCGATAACCCATATCAGATTACACAAGCACCTCCCAACAATGCCCTCACACATCCACATCCACCCAGAGCGCACACACATACGCCTGCACACAGGAGGAATGGTTTCCAGATGTGCCAGCAGCAGGAAAAAGACACAAGCTGAGTAGGATAGTGAGATTGGTGGCGTTTACTTTGGAAAGGCATACAGATAAGGGCAAAACATAATGGTCAGTGTCTTTGTCCTATTCATCAAATGTCAGGATAACTAGTTTTAAAGGTTTAGACTACTGTTCAAAAATTTGGGGCCAGTAAGATTTTTTAAAGAAATTAATACTTTTATTCAGCAAGGATGCATTAAATTGATCAAAAGTGACAGTAAAAGACATTCATAATGTTACAAAAGATTTCTATTTAAAATAATTGCCGTTTCTTTCTATTCATCAAAGAATCGTGTAATCAATTTATCAGAGTTTCCACAAAAATATTAAGCAGCATAACTGTTTTAATTGATAATAATAATAACAACTGTTTTTTGAGCACCAAATCAGCATTAGAATGATTTCTTAAGGATCACGTGACATTGAAGATGATGCTGAAAATTGAGCTTTGCTATCACAGGAATAAATTACTTTGTAAAGATATGATAAAAATAGAAAAGCTAATTTAAAGGGAAATATTTCACAATATTACTGTCTTATTGTATTTTGAGCAAACAAATGCATCCTTGGTGAGCTGTTTAATGCTTTAAAAACCTAAACAATCTTAGGGTGCTGTAGAGTACATGACAGTTAGGTAACACTTTAGGGACTAATTCTCACTATTAACTAGTTACTTATTAGAATGCATATGAATGCATATTAGCTGTTTATTAGTACTTCTAAAGCACATATTAATCCACGCCATACCAAAACTTAACAACTACCTTAACTAATAAGCAGCAAATTAGGAGTTTATTGAGGCAAAAGTCGTATTTAATAGTTAGTTAATAGTGAGAATTGTTCCCCAAACTAAAGTGACCGTCAATTATTCTCAAACTTAAGATCACATTTCAATCAATTTATTTTGTATCAAGGTGTTTACATGCAATATAAGATTCACGACTGGGCTATCAGTTGGATTATAAAATGATCAGTCTCATTTAATCAGAGCTACTGTTCTCAGGAAGCATAACACAGCAAAAGACATGTGAAGCCTATGCTAGCATGCTAGCCAAGTACATACGCCAACAGCCAATTATTAAAAACATCTGGTCTGATTCCTTTAATCAAAACAATCCTAATAACACAAGGACAACAGAATGAACTACTGACAGTTGAATTTAGTATGTTGATTAGGTTTGGTCAGGAAAACACGGATCTGTCCTTCAAACTACACCTAAACTGATAAGATTCCAGACAGCAGTATCCACCCCCATAACAGTTTAGTCAGTGCTGGGATTTCTGCTCATCTTTATCAACAGATGAGGAACTCCAGAACCCCTAACAGCAGGAGGCTCATGTCTCTAAATTTGCAGTCAACAAAAAATACTCACAGATTCACACGCTGAAAGGATCATCCATTTTATCCAGTCAATGAGGGAGAAGCTGTACACCTGTGTTACTTTAAAATTAACTCTCGACAGTCTAAACACCTGTTAACCTCATACGCTTCTCTCATTGTAGGAGGAGCGATTTGAGCCTACAGACCCGGTTCTAGCAGCGATGTGGTTTAGTGGACCTGACCTCAGCATTCAGGTGTCTGATTGGGGCGCTGAGTGGATTGGCAGGTAAGAGGGTGTGGATATAAAGTTGTCAAACTAGTTTTGCAGAAGCCAAGCCAAAAAGACATGCTCATATTACAAAGACAGGCAAAACATATGTTTGAAAGCATATATGCATACTTTAAAAACATGATACGCCCATTTAAAAAATAAGATTGAGCAGTCACAGCATGCAAAACAGACAAAGACACTGAGATGAAACAAAACAAACAAGTGGCTGACAAACTATTGAGCTGGAATAGGAAGTCTGAAATGGATCTGCCAGTCTCACTAAGGCTACATCCTGATATTGCTCAATTAAATGTGCCCTTGCTGAAGAAAAATATTAACTTCTTTCAGAAAAAAAAAAAATCTTACTGACCCCAAACATTTGAACAGTAATATACAGTTGCCACTACCAGACATTTATAGGCCTAAATATCTATCTGGGCAGAGGTTTCACGGCATAAAGAGGAAAAGGGTCAGTGAAGGATGCAAAGGGGTTAAAGTGCAGAGAGGAAATAGGCTGTTTTTTCTCAAGGGAACTGGGGTATAGAGACAGCATTCCCAAGACTACGGCAAGAGAACTACCAGAGCAAAAACACATCCACGAGAACTGATAAAACAAGAGTGAAGACAAAGGGAGCTCATTAAGATATATTTATTACACAATGCTTTGGGGAAATAGTACTGAAAACAAACTGAGGAAATGAAAACACTGTTGCTCAAAGGCCAAGTTTAAAGGATATAAAACCAATGGGGAAAACATGGCACAGTAATGCATAGACATTAGTTAATTGGGTGATCTAATAGAGTCTTTGTTCTATAGCCAGTGCTTGTTTAAGCGTAAAAATACAAAGCAAAACAATGAAAGCACTGTGTACAGAAAGAGAACGGAAGGGAAATCATCATTAAGATTCCCCCCTTCAAAAGAAGCATAAGAGACAATACTGGAGCAAACAGAGCCACATGGAAAGGCTCTTTCACCAATGGAAAATAGACAGCTCTTTTGCTTCCGAGATATACAGCAGATGTCTGGAATATTAATCAAATCTCAGACTTATCAGTAAAAGCTTGCAGCACATGGGATATAACATCAGAATGAGACATCTGAAAATCTGAGACATCAGAATGGGAATCAACAATCAATCCCACAATGATGTGACAAATGGATTGGAATCTTACACATCCATACAGCATAATAGCACAAATCACCCAAAATGAAATGGTCTGCAATGTGTAATGTCAGGCAGGTCTTACCCTCCTGGACTCTGGGCAGGTTGGACTGATCCACCTCCAGCTCTGCCATGACTTCTGGCACTGCTCAACAACTCATGCCATTCAGCAACACCTAGTCTCATGAGAGAGAGACTCTGGTCAGTGCTAGAACGACTGGGCCAAAGTAGCTTATTTGGTCACTGTGAGTGTCCCAACAGACACACAGTTCACCACGGTCTCATTAAATGCATATTTCTTATGAGACCATAGTGCACTGCAAACACAAATCTTTTGACAAACCACTGCTAGAATATTTGGAAAAAATAAATAAATACAAATAAATTGTATGTATATATATATATAT